CCCCAAAACCCCAAAACCCCAAAACCCCAAAACCCCATAATTAGTAGCTTTTATTGAAATATAAAATGAATAAAAACTTGGGCTCATCCCAAATGCCTGACTATCTCCAAGGCACGAATACTTATGTAGTTCCTTCAGTGAAGAATCTTAGCCCAAAGAGGAAGAAGGTTTATCCTGCTGTAAACAACAAAATCAGTGATATTTTACCTAATGGGAATTATATGAAATAAAGATCATCTACTAACCTTGATAACTTCAAGAAATGAGAATGAGTTAATCCAAGGCATCCCACAAACTTTGTCTAGAGATAGTAGTGGCAAGAGTTTGCCAGATGTAGTTCCTACCAAAGGATCTAACAATAAGAATCTATTCAGAATTAGCTATAACAAGGTACCTCATTTGATTATGTTTGTAGAGAAAAGCAATCAATAACAGTGCTAAATAAAATATCGATGACCAAGGACGTAGAGAGCAGCTATAAAATTAAATAAAGGAGAATTCAGTTGTTATTTAGATAGCAGTAAAGTTGATAGAAGCTTCAACTCTCTCAAAGCATTATCAGTAAGGAATAAACACCTGGTTTCAGCAAGAGAGGAGAGTCTTGATGAGCAAGAATATTCAAATGTATGCCCGAAGTTGCAAAAATATGATTCAAAATCATCTCTAAAAGAGTAAGTTTGAAGAAAACTGCTTTATTTTCAACAATTTTCAAAGTAATTTAACTTTATTCTAGGAGTAACAAAAATAGTGCATTCACATTCAACACTCAAAGAAGGTCTTCTTCAATAGTCCACAAGCATCCAAAAGCTTTTATCAATCACAATTTAAGCATGGACAAGAGTATTATAGAATCTCCCCACAAATATGATCTGTTACTGAAGAAATACTTTGGATATCGCTATAAAGGTGGTCCTCCAAAAGTAATCGAGAAACTGACCAATAATAATCAAAGTTTACTTCCCCACATTGAGAAGTATTCTCAGAATCTGATTAGTCAATGTATCCGTCCTTCTAAATTCTAGGTTCTCCTAAGAAAGTTGTTCTTTCTTCCAAGAAATATCTGAAGAGTAAATTTGACAGCAAGAATCTCCCTCAACTGACCTTACCTCAGAACAAAAATCTTGAGAGGGATTTAAGGATCCACTTTAAGATGTCCAAGAAGACCAAGAGTCCTCGCAGGTCCAAAGATGGACTTTAAAGGGTCTAATTTTGCTGTTTCAATCTTACTTAGAAGAATAGGGGTTTTGGGGTTTTGGGGTTTTGGGGTTTTGGGG